TTCTCCTGGAACTGAGTTCAGAACATGATGAGTGATGCAAAGTCACATTTCTTACAGTTTTTTTCAAGTTCATCCAACATTTTCTTCTTCTTTCCTTTTGGAAGTGGCTCCCAATTTGCATGCTGTGTTGCTCATTACTGGCTCTGGGTTTCTTCTGTGCTTCTAAGAGAACTAAGAGCATAAAAAACACAAAAGAAAGAAGTTAGGACATGATTCATTACAAGATCTCAATACATTGAGGCAAACCTGAGTGTGGAAATCATCTAAATGGGAGTTGAGAGTTGGAAATTGGTGTGGCAGAGAGAGCTGGAAAAGGGAATCTCATCAACCTTCAGAAGATCTAATTCTCTAGAGCTGAGAGGGGAATATATAGAGAAAAAATAACCGTCTTTTCTCAGCTTCATATTCATCAGCAAAAACATCTGCTCCTGTTTTTCCACATAGGCATGGAGCAGGGAGTGGATTCATTAGGTCCTTCCAATGCAAGGAGGGAGGAAAGGGGAGAGACTGCAATGGTTTTACTGTCCTGGTATCTTGAAACAGCCATTGCTCCACTAAATATCACAGAATCACCAAGGCTGGAAGAGACCTCCAAGACCATCCAGTGCCACCAGAACCACCATCATCGCCCCCAAACCATGTCCCCAAGGGTCACATCCAGACACCTCTGGGACACTCCCAGACACAGTGACTCCACCACCTCCCTGGGCAATTAATCCCAAGGCCTGAACACCTGACAGGGAAAATTTGATTCTAATATCTAACCTGAACCTCCTCTGGGGCAGCTTGAGGCCATTTGCTCTTGTCCTTTCACTTGGGCCATGGCAAAGAGACCAACCCACACCACACTGCAACCTCCTGGCAGGAGTTGTGGAGATCAATGAGTTCCGCCTGAGCCTCCTGTTCCCCAGGCTGAGCCCCCCCAGCTCCCTCAGCTCCTCATAGGACACGCTGATGACTATGAAGTGGTCTGAAATCACCATGAGGAAAGACATGGTTCTGGTGCCTCTTCCCCAGAGGGAAAAGCTGCAATTGCATCATTTGGTTTTCTTAAGAAACAAATGATTCACTCCCCATTCTCCCAAGGACTGTTTACCTTCGCCTGGTAACACCACACTTCACCCTGGGCAGGATTAACACTGAGCTCTAGTCAAATCAGCACAAATCCCATGACTTCATCCTTGTGTTCTGGAACATATGAGGAAGAACAAGACCAAACCTGAACAGAGCAGAGTCCTGGACTTCTGCCTCACTGCAGCTCAGGCTCCCTGGGCTCTGCTGCCGTGGCTTACATAGATGAGGGTTCAGGTGTTGCTACACTTGTTCCTTGGTGAGGTGTGACTTCTACCACACTAGCAGTGGAGCAGTACCATAGGATCATGGAATCACAGAAGGTTTGGGTTAGAAGGATCTTAAACATGATCTAGTTTCAACCCCTGCCCTGGGCAGGGACACCTCCCACCAGAGCAGGTTGTTCAAGGCTCAGCCAACCTGGCTGTGAACACTGCCAGGGCTGGGGCAGCCACAGCCTCCCTGGGGTTGGAAAGCCTCATGAAACACCTCCACTCTTCCTTTTGGAAGCTGGAGGCCTGACAGAACTTTTCCACCCAGTGCCATAGGATGAGGATGGAAACCTGTGGGCAGAAAACGCAGCTGAGCCTGCAAAGAAATGAACTTTGGTATTTCATACCAAATCCTCTGAGCTGAGCCCTCAGTTTTCTTCCTCTCTCTCCTTCAGCTGATGCAGAAAGGTAATTACAACCCATGTTTCCTCCAAAACCTTCTAACCCTTTGCATTGAAGGGAAATATTGTGGCTCATCCAGTTCTGACTCAACTGGTAATTGAGGCTGACAAGTAATTCCTTGAACAGATGACTAAACAAGCTAATGGGAGGATGTTACCCAACAGCAGCACCTTAGTCGAGCTCCTGAAATAGCCTATGTGAGGCTCACATGGAGCTGGTCAAGGGAAGCAGCTGATGGGACAAAGTGTCCAGCATCAAACTGGACGAACACTCCATGGGATGGGTGAGCAAGTGGCTCAAGGGTTCTGGTGAATGGGATCCCACCAGGCTGGCACTGGCACCACTGGGTTGTGCAGAGCTCCAGCTCAGGCCCAGAGCTCTTCAGCATCTGCATCAGTGGCTTGGATTGGGACTTGAAGGGCTACTGAGCAAATTTACAGCTGAGCCCAAACTGGGAGGAGCTGAGCACTACCTGGAACCAGAGAGACCTCACAGAGGGACCTTGGGACGACTTAGTGTTTGGGCACTGGATCAGGGTTAGGTTGGATGTCAGGACAAGATTCTTCCCCCAGAGGTGTTTGAGCACTGAACAGCTCCCCAGGGCAGTGGTCACAGCCCCAAGGCTGACAGAGCTCCAGGAGGGTTTGGCCAATGCTCTCAGGCTCAGGGTGCATTGTTGGGGTGTCCTGGGCAGGGCAGGAATTGCTCTAGATGATCCTCAGGAGTCCCTTCCAACTCTGATTATTCTGTGATTCTGATCTTCTTGGTAGGATTTTTAAGTCCTATTATTTTCTTAGGTTTGCAGCAACAGCTCTTAGACTGAAGCTCAGGACACTAGACCGTTGTAGGATGTCAAGCAAACCTCTTTTGTTCCCACTCATGAATTTCTCAGCGTGACTAAAATGTACCACCAGAATAAAGTGATTCAAGTGTCTTTGTCAAACAGAAGCAGATGCAAATGGGAATGTTGATGAAGAAGCTGTAACAGATGTCCCTGAGCTCAGAATGCAAATCACCTGCATTTTCATGATGTCGCATTGACTAATTACTTCTGAATGCTTTTCCAAGCCTCATCTTCACAGAAAAAAACAAACCTCATTTATTTCCCCTCCAGCTCTCCAAGCAGATCTGCAAGGACTGACTCAAGATGGTTTATATCCCCATTTTCAGGTTCTAAGTCCTATGAGCACTGTGGAACTGAGGGTACAGATGGGTCAAATGCACCTGGGGTCATGGTTTAGGGGTGATGATGGTGGCACTGGATGAGCTTGGAGGTCTCGTTCAACCTTGCTGGCTCTGTGGTAAGAGCCTACAGAGGCCCAAGGCAGGGATGGAATGGTGGGACACACGGTGTGAGCTCCTGTGGCTGAGCAGACAGCACAGAGCTCACTTTGTGCCATGCCTGGGGAGTGGGAGGAGGTTGGTTGGGTGGTGGAAAGCCAAGAGACATCACTCAAAGCTCTGTCTCTGTCTCTGTGGACGTGTTCCTTGACGTATCCTCCTCCCACCCCCAAAGACAGGGGGAGGTAGGAAGAGGATAAGAGGAAGAGGGAAATGCACAGAGGAAAGGAAGAAGATTTCAGTAACAATGTTCTCTGTAAGAGAACCAGTTTAGAACACAAAATCAAGGGCCAAACTCATTTAGATGACTTAAACTGCACTGTCAGTGTCTGTCATTTCTCCTTGGCTGGCTCTGAGCCTCCTCAAGGCAATGAGAAACACCAAGGCAGGAAATGAGCCTGAGTTTAGACCAGAGAAATATGAGTCAGAGCAAATGAGAAGAAGAGCCAGAGGACTGGGAAAGGGCCACACCATTAGCAGCTGAGGCACTGGAGAGCAAAGCCAAGCAGGATGAGGCAGTGGTCACAGCCCCACGGCTGACAGAGCTCCAGGAGAGTATGGCCAATGCTCTCAGGCTCAGGGTGCATTGTTGGGGTGTCCTGGGCAGAAGTTGCATTGGTGATCCTTGTGGGTCCTTCCAGCTCAGGAGATTCCATGATTCTGTGCTCAGGAGAATGTCAGACACAGAACTGTCACAGAGGAAGCAACTCCATGTAAGGTCTGAGCACCTCACTAGTCCCAAGGCTGAGGTTACACATGATTAATAGCTATGAACTATTGAGTTATATCATTTACACCATAATTAGAGGCCTCTCTATCCTTGCTGCCTCTTCTCCCTCAGCAACTAAACTGAGTTGAAATCTCTATTCCTCTTCTGAACCTGCCAAGACTAATGATATAACCCTTCAAGACACACTCAGAGCTCTAGGCCTCCTGGAGGTCTTTTCCAACCTCAATGATTGTGTGATTCTTTCAGAACTGGAGGTCACCAGTTGGTTCCGGAAGGAGAAACTGAAGTAAATCTGAGCTGGTGTCTCCCCCCAGTGTCAGATTCTCCTGGTCGAGGCTGCAGCTCCAGCACAAAAGTAAAAACACCTACTGGAACTTCTCCAAGGCTACCATACATCAATCCCTACCCTGGTGAGTCAGAGAACAGCTACTGCTTCAGGTCTGGGAAGGGCTAAGACTGGAGAAGACCTACTGGAAGCTTCAGGATATCACCATCACAAGCTCTGGGGGTGTCTATGCTGTAGGTGCTACCCTGAAGCTTAGGAATGGCCTTAAGCTGAAGGAGGGCAGGGACAGATGGATATTGGGCAGGAATTCCTCCCTGTGAGGTGCTGAGGCACTGACACAGGTTGCCCAGGGAGGCTGTGGCTGGTCCATCCCTGGGAGTGTTCACAGCCAGGCTGGATGAGCCTTGAGCAACCCGATCTAGTGAGGAGGTGTCCCTGCCCAGGGCCCGGGGTTGAGGCTGGATGATCTGTAAGGTCTGTTCCAACCCTTAAACTCTGTGATTCTATGATATATTTAATTAATTAAGAATTTCTGATTCTTTTCTACCTTAATTATGAGACTTAAGGCCACGAGGTCTAACTGCAGCATCCTGCAACCTTGTGCCTCAGCACTTCCTGTGCCATCAGCTGGGCATGGAAACTCAGGGAGATGAAGAGCAGAGAAGGAATGTTGTGCTGAGATAGCCAAGTTTCCTGCTGGGAACTGCCATTCCCACATGGAATGAGCATGATGTGAGCGTGCACAGACACTGCAACACTACAGAGGATAAAGATCCCAACAACTCAGCTCATGCTGTTGGTTCTGACTCACAGTCCAAGACAAATTTGATGGGGTCAACATGTCAATGCCATCACGAAACACCAAGACATCACCTCAATCCTCTACCTGAGAGACTCTTCAATCATCCTTCTTCTCTGCTTCTCTTTTCAGCTTCTCTTCACGTTCTCTCTTCAGTTTCTCTTCAATTTTCTTGCTCTGGTACATTTTCACTCCAGCAAATGCTAAGCAAAGGATCAAGGTTTTAGCTGCCAAAATGTACATCAACAATGGGAAGTTCTCTAAGGCCTGAAATGCAAACAAAAATGAGATATTTAGGCACTTACTGGAACACTTGGACAGTTAAAAATCAATCTACAGAGATGCTCCAGAGCTTCCTACAGCAACAGCATCATCAAAGCAATGGTGATGTTCCTCTGGCCATGCTTTTCAGTTCTGGAGGAACATTGCCTGGCAAGATCACGGAGCAGACTCTCCTGGACGCTCTGCTGAGGCACATGGAAAGCAAAGAGGTGATTGGCAATAACCAACATGGCTTTACCAGGGGCAAGTCATGTCTGAGGAGTTTGGACTCCTCAGGCATGACTGCTGAGTGATCTTAGAGGTCTCCTCCAACCTTTCTGGTTCTACGACTCAAAGAGCAGCAGGAGAAAAGCCTGGAAAGAGGAAAGGCAGGAGGAGGAGGCAAACAGAGCACTGATGCCTCAGGTCTAACGTGTGAGGCCCCAACAGCAAGTTCTGGGTCTAACCCACATGGTGTGAACACATCTGGCAAGGAAGAATCAACAAGTCCTGTGTCCCTGAGGTGGTTAGACAACCTTCATATAGCAAGGAGACCACCTGCAAACACAGATCCCACCCAACCACATCCTCCACGCAGCTGCTTCAAGGAGCATCAATGCACTGCCTCAGGGATGTGGAACAGCCTCACCTTCCAGTTAAATGCCACCATCTTGGCAGGGTGATGCCAAGGGCTGTGTCCACACCCACTCACGTCACACTTCCACAGCCACACACCAGTGCAGGAGCATCTGGAAGGAATGGAAGTGAAAGAAGAGTTAGCCAATGTGTTTCTCCTCAGCATGTCAAGCTTGCAGCTCCCTGAGCTTGTCCAGCAGGTCAACCAGGCACCTCTCTGACAAGCTCATGTTTCATGGGGTCTGGCAGAGTCTCAGTGCTCAGAAATGACCTCCACAGACCTTTCTGGAGCTGAGTGACAGCAGCAACATCTCTGCTGCTGGAGGACAGGGGTGGACAGGCTCTGGGCAGGTGCCAGGCTTGCACAGAGCTCAGCTTGGGCCTCCACATCCCATCAGCTGTTTTTGGAAGCTCAACACGTGTCTGTCTCACTCTGCCTTGCTGATGTCTGAGATCTGGAGGACACCAGTGCAACCAGAAGAGCTGTTTTGTGGTTCCTGAGCCAACCTGCTCTGCTCAGAGGGTGAATGCCTCATGAATTCTGCCTTCTCCTCTATCACTTCTCCCTAGTTTATTAATGAATTAAATTCTCCAAACAGCTCATAATAACACACAAAGTTAGGGTTGTTCAGCCTGGAGAAGAGAAGGTTGTGTGGAGACCTCAGAGCAACCTGCAGGAGCTGAAGGGGCTCCAGAGAAGCTGCAGAGGGATCTGTGTTAGGAGCTGCAGGGACAGGACAAGGGGTAATGGGTTCAAACTGAAGGAGGGGAAGTTTAGGTTAGATATTAGGAAGTGTTTCCCTGTGCAGCTGGTGAGACACTGGCCCAGGTTGCCCAGGGAGGATGTGGCTGCCCAAGCCTTGGAAGTGCTCACAGCCAGGTTGGCTGAGCCTTGAGCACCCTGCTCTGGTGGGAGGTGTCCCCTGCCCAGGGCAGGGGGTTAGGGCTGGATCATCCCTATACTCCATTCCAACCCCTTCACATACTATGACACTACTATGAGTTGCTAACACAGCACTGAGGTGTGATATGGGCAGAGTTTCTCCTCCTCTCCCATGTGCAGGAGCTCCTGCTTCACTGAGGAGATCTGTCCCCTCTCCTTGCTCTCAGGCACCAGAGAACAGGCACTGACTGTGAGGTGCAATCACAGGGAAAACATGTGGGACTGATTTCATCTCATCCCTGCCCTGCAGAGGATTCCACATGACGGGTAACTCCTAGACCATCTCTAGGAGCCCCTGGCAGGGCCTCAGGCAGTGCCTAGTGCTCCTGTTGCTTTCTCACGTGGCCCAACATGAGATCTCCTTGGCTGTGAGTGAAGCTAACAGTGGGGCCCAGGAGCTCTGTGTTTGTCCAGGGAGCCTGGATTTTCCTGGGGAAGGAACAATGCCTGAGTATGGATGTGTTCCCAGCTCCTATCTGAGCCTTATCTGCCGCTGAAAAGGCAAACATGAAATTCCAGCTGTGTATTTGCCTCTGCTTTTAAGATAGCACAACCTTGAAAGCAGAAGGGCTGAGCTTTAGGCTTTGGGATGGACAACCTCAATGCTGATAAATGTGGTTGGTCTTCAAATGGGAAGTGAATCCTGGAATCAGAGAACCCTGAAATGTTATGGGTTGGAAGGACCTTAAAGATCACCTCATATCCAACCTGGCTGTGAACACTGCCAGGGCTGGGGCAGCCACAGCCTCCCTGGGCAACCTGTGCCAGTGTCTCACCACCCACACAGGGAAAACTTCTACCTAAGATCTAACCTAAATTTCCCTCTTTCAGTTTCTCCCCACTGCCCCTTGTCCTGTCCCTGCAGCTCCTAACACAGATCCCTCTGCAGCTTCCCTGGAGCCCCTTCAGCTCCTGCAGGTTGCTCTGAGGTCTCCACACAACCTTCTCTTCTCCAGGCTGAACAGCCCCAGCTCTCTCCTAGGGAAGCTGCTCCAACCCTCTGATCAGCTTTGTGGCCTCCTCTGGCCTTGCCCCAACAGTTCCATGTCCTTCTGATGTTGGGGACACCAGAACTGTGTGCAGTATTCAGGTGGGGCTCCCCAGAGCAGAGCAGAGAGGAAGAATCCTCTCTTTGGACCTGCTGCCCAACTCCCTGGGATGCAGCCCAGGCCTGGGTTGACTTACCAATTTCCTGTGAGCTCCAAATGCTGTGAGGTCCTCTGGGCCCAGAGCAGCCAGACAGGGTCCCACCACAGCCTGAGAGCTTTGTGTCCTCAGGGAGGGCTGCACCAAGCCCCAGAGCTCCACTTGGGCTGACACCAGCCCCAGGATCTCAGACCACCCCAGATGGACTATGGAGCTGGACTCCAGTGAGATGGGAAGCCTGTGGTGGAGCACAGCATTGCATCCAGGCCAGGTTGGCTGGGGTTTGGTGCAGCCTGGGCTGGTGGGAGGTGTCCCTGCCCAGGGCAAGGGTGTTCCATGGTTTCAGCCACCTCAGGGGCCTTGGAAGCTGCAGGCCCTCACCTGCTGCCACCACCTTGCCCTAGGAGGGTCTGCTGGGCTGTCACCTCTCCTGTCCCCATCCCACCTCAGCTCTGCCCTGGTCCCTGTCACCTCCCTGTGTCCCTGCAGCACGAGTGCCCAGCACCCAGCAAGGGAGGCCGAAGAACAAGGAGAGGGGATGGAGAGCATGGAAGTGGGGGTGGAGATGAAGGAAGCAGGGCTGGAGAGGAAGGAGGGTGTGCTGGAGAAGAAGGCAGGTGATGGAGAGCAAAGAAAGGGGTTGGAGAAGAAGCAGTGGGGGCTGAAGAACAAGGAGTGGGAGATGGAGAGCAAGGACGAGGGACTGAGAGTAAGGAAGGAGGACTGGAGAAGAAGGAGGTAGGCTGGAGAACATGGAAGGGGGGTGAGAACAAAGAGGGGAGTGGGGAACACGGAAGAGGGATGGAGAACAAGGTGGGAGCAAGGAGAGGGGGCTAGAGAGTAAGGAAGGGGATGGAGAACAAGACAGGTGAACTGGAGAAGAAGGAAGCAGGGCTGGAGAGCAAGGAAAGGGGAGGTGGAGAGCAAAGAAGGGGGACAGAGAGCAAAACGGGAAGCGGGAGGACAAGGAAGGGGGCTGGAGAGCAAGGAAAGGGAATGGAGAGAAAGAAGGGGAATGGAGAGCAAGGAAGGGGGGGCTGGAGAACAAGGAAGAGGGATAGGACAAGAAAGGGGGCTGCAGAACAAGACGGAGGGCTGGAGAAGAAGGAAGTCTGGCTGGAGGGCAAGGGGTGAGTGGAGAACAAAACGTGGGGCTGGAGAGCAAGGAAAGGGGTTGAAGAGACAGGAGAGGGGAGGTGGAGAGCAAGGAGGAGGCTGGAGAACAAGGAGGGGGTTGGAGAGCAAGGAAGGGGAGGTGGAGAACAAAACGGGGTCCTGGAGGGCAAGGAAGGGGCTTAAGAGCAAGCAAGGGGCAGGAGAGGAAGGAGGAGGATGGAGAACAAGGAAAAAATGCTGAAGAAGAAGGAAGCGGGGCTAGAGT